AAAGCATATGATCAATGGAGAGGCTCTTTGCACACAAAATTCTACACTACAGATGAAAAACTGAGTCATCAAGCAACACAGTAGACTAAACGCACTTATGACTGAACCATGATATTGTGAATTTTGAATTATACGAGCATGGCCAACCATAGAGTAGCCTGCCGAGAGGACAAACTTACCAGAAGATACAAAATAACATATACAAACAGAAAATATTGGGCTTGCATAGATTGTAATTTTCATATTAGCAGCCAAGCTCAAATTCAAACGGCCATTGGAGCTTCATGATTCCCAGAATATGCTAAATTCTGATAAGTCCGGGTACTTTGTATGAGGAAATCAAACTAACAATATAAATCAGTAATTCCCATATAAAGCAAGCACTGATTGGTTTGTGCAAAACAAGTAACTTTTTTTTTCTGTACAAATGGAAAAAGAAAATAGTTTTGTTTATAACGTAGTTACAATTTATCTAAAAAGAGAACGGCTATAATTCATGATCCATTCAACAACCAGAAATATCCATTAACCAAAAAAAGCAAACTATCACAACCGCAATTGATTGTCTTCAGCACAATCCGCAAACCATACTGCCCAAAATCCATGAACAATCCAAATAGTAATAGAAACCCACATTTTAAATTACCAAACAAAACGAACAATCCAACAAAGATCAAAGCTTTGCACTAAAACCTTCATACCTGGAGGCCACTGAGGAATGGGATCAGGCAGAGAGAAGGGTTCAGGCTCTGGTGGGAATAAATCGGTGAGTTTCTTCCAATAGAAGCACTTGCACCCGAACATCGTTTCCCCGAAACCGAAACTCTCTCTGCCTCTTTCTCGCTCTCACATAAACAGGACGAGGGTCCGCCTCTGTATCTCTGATTCTATGATCGCAAACGTAACACACGGTTCTCAAATTAGTTTATGGATTGACACCACCTTTAAGTACAGATATTTCAAAATTCTGTGACAAAGAAGAGTCATTCTTTTGGGGCCCTCTCCCACAGTGCACAACTTTATCGCTCGATAATGAAAGATGATGATTTGATTTGAATGCAAAAGATGACATGATATTTAATTAAAAATTTGTGTTCATGGTGCAATACTGCTAAGTAGATAAGGGATTTTTCATTTTCTCCTTTTTTTTTAATGTATAAAAAAAATAACTAAGAGAATCTCGACGAATTTTAATCAAAACATGAAAACTATAAAATTTGGAAATTCAAAGAATGAAGCTTTTCTTAAGAAGAGTTCACCTTTATTTATGGGAAAGTTGCTTGTAATAAAGCCAATGCAGCCAATGAGGATGGTAGGTCACTTTGGTCGTATTTGAAAAGAAAAACATGGGGGATTGACCTTGATAGTCTGAATATTCTTTGGTAGTAAACAGTAAATTGTAATTTGAGAGGAAAACAAGCGTTCATTTTTTTTCTTAGTCAAAGAGATGCTTCATTGAAATAAAGAGAAACCAACATAAAGTATCCAGGAATGAGGGAACTCCACTCAACTAGATAACAATAGGTAGTGTTTTTTCAACACTTCCAATATGTCATCATATTACGATCCCTCTCAAAATTTACGATGCTGAAATGAAATGTAAAAGATGAAAAGGTGAAAATGTCAATGTTTTTTTGTCGAGAATGAGAACTTGAACACAGAATCTCGACTGCATAAATAACTATTTCTACCAACGCAATTCCTTGCAAAAAAGAAATTACATGCCTCAAATGAACTTTCTTCCCATGTGGGCTTGTGTTGTGAAGCTTATGGTGCACTGGTGCATAATGTAGGACACGACACAACAAATGACGTCGTGTCGGTCCAATCATAATTTTCAGTCTTTTTTTTTTTGGTCAACTGGAGAATTCATAATTCTCAGTTTCTGCTACGTGTACGGCTGTAAAGTAGTTGTATTTCATTAATTCAACACGGGCGGTCGTTTGGTCTCCTAAATTTTACTTTCTGCATCTTTCTCATGGCAGACAACACGCCAATGGCAATATCATGTCATTTCCTTCAAATTTTGTCTGATTTTTCTTGCCGTACTACTCTCTATATCATACTAATAGACAAAAAATATATATATTATATTTTAACCACCTTTTAAAGAAGCAAATTATTTGCTCCACACAATGAAGAGAGTACTTTCCTCATCAAATAACCACAATTATCATAAGGTGTATCGATTTTGACCCTTCTGGTGCTTGTAAGACTTTCAAGGAAAAAGAAAAGATGAATAATAAAGATGAATTTTCTTGTGGTGTTCGGAAAGTATTAGTTAATTCCATAAAATGTCGTAGACGTAAACTTAGCCAAATTGATTAGAACAGATTGAACCGAATTCGAATCTCTCTCTTCATAATTTAGAGTAGAATATTGCTTGCTTTAATATAAAAAATTCTATAAAATGTCAAAATACATGTCAACGACGATCGAACAGTTGTACACAGATATTACTGGTTGTTGGGTCCAGGTGTCAGAATCTTGTGACTTTTCAGAAGGGTTAGGTAAGAGCATCCAACGGAGCATGTGATGCAGGACAGAGCTTTCAGCTTCATGAGGTTCCAGTGAGCTTTCCCATTTTCCAACTAACTAAATGAGACAAGTTGATATTTTGCACCAAGTTAAATCCGAGCCTTCTCAGCCATTCAAATAATATCATAATTTCCATTTACAAGAAAAGGGAAAATCACCTTTCTAGCCGCCCCTTTATATATCAGCAGCACTGTTGCAGAAGACTCAATAATTAATTAATTATTCTTTGTAATTTACAGCATTGGTTGGAACCCCAGAAGTTGGTATGCTTCTTTCTTCTCCTCCTTCCTGCTTGCAATTTCATTTTCTCAAGCTTTGAAGCCTTTCTTCATGGGAGTTTTTTTTTTTTTTTTTTTTTTTCTGAAGGAAATTGTTTCTTTTTTAACAATAG